AAAGGGGCGGAAAATTTTGGCCGAGTTAGGCCAAAACCGACTTATCGCGTGACCGACTTATCGAGTTTACATGTGTACTTAGCAAATTAAACACTAAATTTCATTATCCTCTGGTATTTTTTGTTTTTCTTGTCTTGACTGCACAGAAATTTTAGCAATATTTTTTTTTAAGTGTTGAGTTCTTTTTTCAATTCCAACCATTTTAAGTATTTTAGGATTTTTATTAGAAGAAAAATTAGCAAAAAAGAATATTTTGAAATATTGTAATTCAATTTACGCGAATTAATTAAATTGATATGTGACATTTTATTTTATAAGTCGGGCCAACATTAGACAAAATTGACCAAAATTATAAGGTGCCAATTTCAGAATTTTTATAAATTTTATAATAGAATTTTCAAACTTTAACCTGACATGACTCTTGTTACACTGAACTTATTTAAAAAGGCTCAATGTAGCTCAATAGCTCTTAACTAAAATAATTGATTAACGTTGGTTTTTTTTCAAAAAGTGCATGGGAATTTGATCCATGTCAATTTTAATAAGACCAATTATTTTGGATGTATTATTGTGACACACACTGTACAACGTTTTTTCCATGACAGGGGTCAATAACATCTGGCATGCATAGGGGAACGGTTTATGTCATGTCATGTACGACGACGAATAATATTTTTATAGTTTATCCGTGACGATTAATATACTAAATTATAGGATAAATTATAAAAATATTATTCGTCGCTGCACGTGAGATAAACTGTCCCTCTCTTTCTCGAGTTGGGCTGAAATGTGGCTGACGATCATAACCCACATTCACAAATTAATGGAGTTGTGTTACCTCAACTCTGGTTGCCGTGATGTTATTTACATAATAGTAAAATAAATAAGTGGAGAGTTGTAAACACACAAATTTAAATTTTTAAAAAAAAGCATGTGTTTACATGTTGTCAACCAACGTGACATAACAATTTTAAATAACTTTCCAAAAAGTGATAATTCATGTGGAATTTTATTAAAATTTCCAAAAAAATATAAAATTAAATTTTTTTTTAATTCGTGCTCCGTGAACAGGGACGATGATTTCCTGCAGTGATAAATGCCGAGAGTGCTAAAGACAAATTCCGCGACATACCGTGCATTAAAAAACACTATATTTCTGTTATAATATCTATGCATTCTAATTCTGCATTATAATTATAATTTTATTATTTGTAAAAAAAAAAATACAAAATAGAAAATTCTAAATATTTAAACTGCCATTATAATAAAGCATATTTAAACTGTGCAAAGACTCTTCAGATAGATTTTGCCTATTATCATCTAAAATTGTATTGTATTTAGAAAAACTTCATTCCATGCTACAAGAAGAAATTGGTAACCATATATAGTCTAATGCTATTTGAGATAAATTGGGTAAATTTCCAGCCATATTTAACCAGTATTCATCTAATCTGACTTCCAAATTTATATCAGACCCACAATAAATTGCCCATTCATCTAATAAAACATTAGATGGATCATTTAATTCTTGAATGATATTATATTGATGTATATCTCTTCGTGTTATATCACTAGAACAAATAAATTTTGGATCAAAAAATTGACATGCATGAAAAAGAGGATGTCCAGGATGAGAAGGAATATGTGCTGCAAACTTTTCATGAGCCACTTCAAATGCTTTTTGGAAAATAGGATAAAACTCATTTGGGCGAAAATGACAATTGATAATTATTGAATCCAAATTAAAAAAACTTGTTGCGACCTGTTGATATTGTTTATTAGCTTTATGTGTTTTACTATTAAGGTGGTCATCAACTGTTGACTTTCATATTCAATCAACAGAATGGTCACAAAATTACAAAATAAAATTCCATCATCAATGCAAAATTCACCAGGATTTTCTTTCACTCTAGTATTGATTGTAACTGTTCTTGTACTTTTTCTTCTATTCATTATAAAAAAAAAATATGATTATCATGTTACACTTATTAAATTCCCTTTTTTATCTTATCTGTGGTATCCTGCAGTACATTAATAGTATTTCCATTTTTAAACACATATTCTGTGATTTCTGCAGCATTCTGTGCTATGCAGAAAATCATCATCCCTGCTTCAAAGATGACAAAGAATCCTCAAAGAAAAACAAAACTAGATTATAAAGAATATTACAACTAATATATAGAACATGATAATCAGGTAAAAGAAATAATATACATATGTAAACTCAATAAGTTGGTCACTTGATAAGTCAGTTTACTCAATAAGTTGGCCATATGAGCTCACCTCACATGACTGACTTATCAAGTTTACATATGTATATATATGTACACTATACATGCAGCCCAAATTAGGGATGGGACAGTTCGGTTTGGTTTCAGTTCAGCGAAACTGGTTTATTGCAAAAAAACCGAACCAAACTGGTTCAACCAGTTTGTGTAACCAGTTATTACACAAACTTTTTATAGATTATACATGCAGATCATTCTTTGTATACAACATATTTCTATACAGTGTTGGCAATTTAACTGGTTCAAACCTTTTTTTGAACTATTTGAACTTTTGAATTGTTAATTAGTTAAATAACC